TGACAGATCTCATGATTCACAGGTTTTGCTCCAATCACTAGCCTAATATGTTCGTTAGAACCTGGCAGCTCGATTCCTGCTTACCTTGCTCACACCAGAAATCCTGCTGACATATATTGGACTACTCACATGAGTAAGGTGGCAGGATTTGGCCTTTCATGTTTCCTTAAATTTATTTAAGGCCCTCAGAATGCTTTCTCTGCCAAGGTTTTTAAATAAAGTGCTTTGAAGCACTATCCAAAAAACGCTAAGTACATTGCTTCTCAGGAAGAATTTGTAGTACAGACTGGGAATTCCACGATGATCATGTCTGGGTTTGGTGGTGCAGTGCTTGGCCCTAGACATCTGCCTGATTATTGGTTCAAGGTAAGTGGGTGATATCTTTTACTGGACTAACTTCTGTTGGACGAAGGGTCCAGTTTTTGAACTACACAGAGCTCTTCTTCAGGTCCGGGGAAAGACCTGAAGAATTCCTCCTCCTCTTCTTCCTTCTCCAGACCTGAAATTTTTTTTCAGCATAGTACCTAATCATTATGCAAAGACACACACACTAGGCATTTTTTAAAAATGTGATCATGGACGAAAACTCTAACACCTCAAGATCCCATACCACTGAAGCCAAAGGGAGCGATGTGTGCTTTGCATATCTGTAAAACCAGCCTTTAATTAAATACCGAGGGTAATTAATACTTCAGGTGTGGAGGGCAGGGGCAGGAACAAGGCAAACTGCATCACTATTGGAGATGATAAAGCTGAGCTTTGCACCTAAACTGACAAGTAGACAGAATTCTTGCAAACAAATTTATTTTCTTAGTACATTGGCTATCCAGTGATTGATTTTTGTTTGTTTTTTAGCATTGCATTAAAATCGGGACAGGCTGCTCCTCAGAGGAAGATTCAAATTATTCACGCTGTCAGCAAAAGCACCAGACAAACAAATAGGAGAGAGGGCTTTTGGTCTTCGCAAAGGAAGAATGACCTACGTCTGCGTTTACCATTCTCAGTGGCAAACAGCAGGGTTGACAGTGATGAATAGGAAGGTCAGGACAACAGCATCTGTCTCAATTTTCCTGACTGAGATGGCATCTCAGGCCTTGGTTGGGCGGAGCAGGTCGCCTGCCCCTGCTGCTCAGGTTGGCGGCACCTGCTACTGAATGTCTGAGTGCTCCTGATTTTGTCTCACAGAACAATTGCCTCCAGATCTCGTGGAATTTAAGGAATCGTGCTTTTAAAACCGATATTAAATGTCATCCATTTTCCTTAGTGTTTGGGGGTTTTAAGAGGGGGGAAAAAAGCTGCCGCTTAGTGACCCATGTTAACGAATGGGAAGAAAATTCGACAGGGTTACGAAGTCCATTTTCAGCCAAGCGAAAGAAAGCTAAATTATTATTAATGACAGACGCTTCCCATTATTTTCAGCAGCGTAGACTGGCCCTCCATGAACCCAGATGTTGACAATTTGGGATTGAAAACAACTTTTTCAGGGCCATAACCATCACTAGACTTTTACATGTGGAACTGTTGCAAAATTCAGATACGGTTCACACTGCTTGGGGCCAGATCCTTCCTCAAGGAGGATTCCAATAAGAATGTTGAGAATTAGGAAAACGTTAAGGATCAGGCCCTCAGACAGAAGAAACTTAACTGGGTAACCAGCCAGGGAACTTATTTAACCTTGATAGCGAAGGTCAATGGTTGCTGATTAACTGAAACAGTCTTAGCAACATTTGTGTTTAACAGGGACATTTGGACAGTATCAAATGGTACTCACTTAAAGAGAAGGGACATTTCAAGTTCTGATTTCTTTATATAAAGGTGTTACCAAATAAAGATTATAATACACAAGCATGAAATGCAATCAATATTTTCTCAGGGCCTGGTACTACTCGCACTGAAGTCAATGGCAGTTTTGCCACTGAGTTTAACGGGAGCAACATTGGACTGACAGAATGTCCCAATTCAGGGGGCTCTGCTGTAATGAGATTGTGCCACAGACCTTTGCCAAGACACGTTCCCAATCCTAACATCAACCTTCTGGCTTTCAGCGTCCCAAGAGAGCCACAGGGGTGGGTATTTTGAAAATGCCACAAGTGAAAATTCTAACCCAAGTTGCGTTTTTTGTTTCTGAAGTTAATTTAAAAAACAACAACAACTATTTATCAGCCCATGCAGAGGAAATTTACATTTGCATCAAGCAGTGTATCTACTGCAGAAGTGGATCATTTGATACTATCACAAATGCCCAGGGATGTAATGACAGACACATTACATGGTATGGAGATGAAAGTTGGCATATAAATGGTCACTCTGAGGCAGTAATTTTCTCCTAAAAAACCCTAGTGGCTCTGTTAAAACATCTTTCCGCTGCAGTTGCAGAAGATTTGGGATGAGGTTTCAGGTCTTGCGTTTGGATACTCTGACTGAACAATTGCTTGATTTTATAATACGAAATTTCACAGAAAATTAGTCTGTACTGCAAAATGGTGACTTTTTGTATATTCATAAATGATTTGAAAATATCCTTATAATTTAACTTGGAAAAAATGTCAACTGAGCATGTGCACCGTATTTTACCTCTGCTATGAAGGAAACAAAATGGTTCCATCGGTTCTGCCCTGCATTTTACTAACCCCTATGTACACCTAGATAATGAATTACTTGGATAAGGCTTTGGGCCTAATGCAATGTTTACACCCAGTTTTTAGCCAGGCAAACTGAAATGGTCTTTACAGGAAGTTTTCCTGAGTAAGAGTTCGGTAAGGACATCAGGATTCAGTCTATATAGATTCACACGCATTCACGTGACACCTGGACATTCACATTGTGCCTGTTTCACGGACACTGCACTGCATCCCAAGAAACCCTAAACTTGATATAGGGGCAAATTCTGCTCTCAGTGTAAATCCTTAACCTTAAATTAATCTGCACAGGTGTCACTGAAGTCAATGGGGTTGCACAGGGCATAATCTGGTCTGGAAAAAGCCCATTACTTTAGGGATGATGCATGAGAAGGAAAGAACAGAGATGGAGCATCATAGCCCAAGTTGAATTTGTGGGGCTGGCAGTTAGAGAAATCTTACCTTGCTAACTGAACAAACTATACATTGAAATCAGTGGGACACAGTGATTACTTAACCCTGCAATGTCATTTTCACAAAGTCACTTTTTTAGGGTAGAAGTGCATTTTAAGCGAAAGATCTAAGGCTTTTTACAGGGTATGTGCATAATTATGCTGCGTACCATCAATATAGTCTAGGTCGACTCCTACCTATTCTCCTCACTGCGAAATCAAATCATTGCGGAGAGTAATTAGGCAAAGCATCATAATCGCTTAATGAGGAGAATGATTAAACTATTATCCACGCCTGCAAATCCTTGGTGTATGCTTGATATCACCTACTGCTATACCACCCAGTACATTTTTTAAAATGTTCACAACTTATTCTGAATGCAAATGTCATGGATTCAAACAGGCTAGAAATAAGAAAGACCTATCAGATGACTAGCCCATCTCCTTGCCAATGCAGGACTAGACCCTACAGCATATTTTCTAGTGTTTTGCCCAGTCTTGCTTTAAACACTCCAAGCAATTGGGCTTCCACAGCTTGTCCTTCAGAGAATTTTTTGCCCTGCCAGGTGAATGCCATTGAATAACAGTGAGATACTGTTATTCAAAGGACAGATAGGAAAATAAATGCAAATTGTTAGCCAAATATATACATATTAGACATAGCACACACCACATTATTATTGTAATATACAGCGCACACGGGCAGTTATGTTCACAAATTATATTATGCCTTTCCCACAATGTTGTTCACTTCCATTCATGCAAAAAGTAATACCCATAACCCTTTGCACAGCTGAAGTCAGCAGTGGCACGGGCAGATACAAAACCCTGTGAAAGGCGAGATGCCTGAATGTTGTGTCCTAGTACAGGTTGGGATGTACTTCTATGGCCTAACTAGTACTTGGAATGCAGTATTTAAAACAGAGATAAGGAAGAAACTGGTGGATACAAGAAAACAAAACAAAAAGCTGGTTGGTGGTTTAAGTCTTGGGTGATGTGCAAAGTGCTATCTAAACCCGCAAACAACCCTACAATAGATATAGCAAGTTTAAAGGCATATTTTTTGAAGCACTCTTTCTGTTTCAGGCGAACTGAACACTGTGAGAATTGCTTCCCAGAAGGAATGGTAAAGTAGGAACTCTCTCCGTTCTGTACTGTACCGCTTTGTCTTTGATAATAACATTTAGCATTTCAGTTAATTGTTCTCTTACACATTCTTAACGACAAACCACAAGGGTAGTCAAGCAACTGGCCATATTTTAGACAATAAAATAGAAAGGGATACTGCGGAAAATGAAGTCTGTAAAGGTCAGGCCAAGAAGCGTGTTTGTAAAGTGGGGAACCCCCGTACAGAAGTTGCCTCAATAGTATATTTTCAACCGATGCCTATCATCACCCTGATCACATCCAGGGCCGGCTCTAGGATTTTTGCCGCCCAACGCAAAAACAATTTTGGCCGCCCCCACCCCCCCCGGCCCCGCCTCAACTGCGCCCCTTCCCCAAATCCCCAGCCATGCCTCCTCCCCCCAGGCTCTCAAGCCTGGGAGGGAGGGGGAGCAGCGGCGCGCGAGCGGCAGCGGAGGTGAGCTAGGGTGGCCGAGGCACATTTTTAGGGGCGGCATTCTGGCGCTGGCCATGCCGCCCCTAAAAATGTGCCACCCCAAGCACCAGCTTGTTTTGCTGGTGCCTAGAGCTGGCCCTGATCACATCTTATATCCCCTCTCCTCTCCATTTTTAAATGTAGGCTCCTAAGAGGCAGGGACTGTGTCTTCCTCTGGGGCTGGAAAGTGCTACGGCAAAACAAACAGTTGCTTCCTTTCAGTAGATCTTCAAGATGAACCCAAGAACCACCACTGTCCTAGCAGCAAGCCCCAGTGCCCAACGACTAAACAAGGTACAACAGGAGAAATGGAATGATTTTGTGCCTTACGTTCACACTCCTCTACATCCAGGTTGAACTGCTGTAAGGCCCCCAATGTAAGCTGCCTCACTTCAGCTTCTAGCAGCAGCTGCATCAGTGAAGTGGATAAGTGTTTGCATGCAGACATACATGCAGTCTGAGCCACCTTACCCTGGAAAATAAAAGGGAAAGCATTAAGGACATGATGCATAGGATCCAAATGGGACCAATCTGTTCACCTGTTAAATCAAAAAAGTACTGTACATTCCGCCCACCTTAAAGAGTCCCCTCTGGTACTTGGCATTTATATGGTTCCCAGATGTATGAAACCTTATTGTAATGATCCTCATTAAAAGGATTCCTTTTTAATAACTTGAAAGAAGCTACAGCAGGGCTAGATCCTGCATGATAGAAGAGGCTGCCTAAGAGCCCTCACTGCTGAAGACCATCCTGTTTAGTGCATTCAGCGCCTCTCTGTATCAGTCATGGATCAGCGTTCATGTGGCACTCCCCATCAGTACTCAGCCCGGGCCCGGGCAGCTAATGATCCAACCAGTGGACCAAATTCGATGATGAATCCTGGTCACGTGCCATCTAAGGCACGTTGTGCACACGCTAAGAAGAATACCTAAGCAATGCCCAACAGCTAATGGGTACAAGTTACAACATAAGCTTATTTGGCACATTATCTTTCATGAAAACTGCATGCTTTAGAGAATTTACTTAGTTCCTAGGCCAAAAACAATAGCACCAATTGTATTAATAAGTACTGCAAACTCAAATCAACAAATGAACCAGTAGCTGAAGATATGTAGAGTGGGATTTTCAGAAATGTTTAGTAATGGCCTAACTCCGTTCGCATTAAATTCAACGGGAGTTTTATTATTGACTCCAGTGGGAGCGGAGCTAGGCCTAGTGCTGAATTTCTCCCCAGATAACACACGGAATCCATAGTATGGTGCGGCTCTAGCGCCATTCTCAGGCACTGGTTTGGATGAGAAGCAGAGTGGGGGTAAGCCCGTGGCCCACTGTAGGACGCGCACACTCCTACTGTATATAGCTGTAAATGTAAAGTCCATACTAAAGACTGGCTCTAGCAAGCTTAGTGCTCTTCAACCTTCTTCTGATGCTATCTAGGTTCCTTGCAGACACAAACAAGGCGCGAGCTGAAGGAAATGTCATCGAAGGAACAAGGTAATTGAAATAGCTGTGGTTATCCTGATAGAATCACTCCCCTGGGGGAATCCGAGGCAGTTGGCTGCACCTCCTGTCTTGTCCCACCCTAGGGAATGTGATTATCAACATTCTGCTCCTCTTAAACCATCTCTAATTCACCAGTGATTAATTAACTGGTGATGCCTACAGGGAGGAAAAGTAACTCAGCCATTATGATGTGAAGGCAGCAGTGACTGCTGCTGTGCACTAAAGCAAAGCCAAGTGCTCGGTGCAGACATTTGAAAACCTTCTTTAGCTCCAGCATGAAAAACATAAATGACAGCAAGTACAAGTGGCCAAGACCGCTCCGATAAAGATGCAATCCTGCCTATACTCATAGGCATTAGGATTTTCTCACATTAGTTAGGAACTATTCCTCTTGTACATATACACAATTTAAACTCAAAAACATAAAACATGACCCATTTCCCGGGCTTTCAGTTTAGCCACAAGTCCCCCCCCAGTTTCAGGGCTCTCTGCATGGGGAAATGTTCTGGTATAATTATACCAGTAGAGCTGTGTCAGTGTAAGTCACCATGGGGATGCTCTCTTTCGGGATTCAGAGTGCCTTTTTTGGTTCCACTTAAACCATTTCCAGAGAGACAAACTAAACTGAAAAGGGAACTCTAGATCCTGAAAGAGAGATGTCCACACGGGGAGATATACTGCCACAGCTTTACTGGTATCACTGCTTAAAGCACAGTATAATTATATTGGTATAGCTATCCCAGTAAACTTTCTTGTGTAGAAAAGCCCTAAATCTCTAGTCCTGTTTCTTGGTGGAATGAAGGAGAATTCAATAAGAAACAGGATCAGAGTTTTAGGGCTTTTACACACATGGAAATTTACCAGTAGAATTGCTTATAGCACAGTATAAATATACTGGTACCACGATGTATATAAACTTCATGTAGAAAAGCCCTAAAACTCTGATCTTGTTTCTTACTGAATCCTCTTTCATGCCACCAACTATGCCACATATACTGTCCCCCACATTACCTTCAGCTCCCTTGTGCCTGTTCCAACATTTGTAAAATAGGAATGATGCTTATCTTTTGTAGAAAGACAATTTGAAAATGATGGATGAAAAGCCCTCCATGAAAGTTAAGTACGATTATTTGTGCAACAGGATTTAGGGACGGTCACACTGAGTGTTTTGTTGCACTTCTTTTTACTGCTCAGTTTAATAGTTTGTAAAAGTTGTAAGGTAATTTTTTACCAACGACTTAAACCTCTTGAGATTTGTTAGTATATTATTAAAAGCTTACATTGCTGTTAGCTTCAACTGCTACAGGAACTAACGAGAAAATTCTTATTAAATCTTTAACTATTATTTCCAACACGTATTTTCTTTAGGCCTTGCCAATTGAAATTTCATTCTTGAAGAACAGTTGAGATCTCAACACAGGAAAGACAGTGCCAGGTACAACTGCCTGGAAAGGTCAGACAATAAAATGACTGGAGTTAATCGTATGCAGTGGTGTAGCAGTGCTGCTCCCAGGATTTGAGAGAGACCAGGTTGGTGGGGTAATATCTTTTATTGGACCAACTTCTGCTGGTGAGAGAGACAAGCTTTCAAGCTCTTCTTCGGGTCCGGGAAACGTACTCAGAGGGTCACAGCTAAATACAAACTGGAACGGATTGAACAGGAGTACTTGTGGCACCTTAGAGACTAACAAATTTATTTGAGCATAAGCTTTCGTGGGCTACAGCCCACTTCATCGGATGCATAGAATGGAACATATAGTGAGGAGATATATATATACACACATACACAGAGCATGAAAAGGTGGGAGTTGCCCAACCAACTCTGAGAGGCCAATTAAGTAAGAGACAAAACTTTTGAAGTGATAATCAAGATAGCCTAGTACAGACAGTTTGATAAGAAGTGTGAGAATACTTACATGGGGAGATAGAGTCAATGTTTGTAATGGCTCAGCCATTCCCAGTCTCTGTTCAAGCCTAAGTTGATTGTATCTAGTTTGCATATCAATTCAAGTTCAGCAATTTCTCGTTGGAGTCTGTTTTTGAAGCTTTTCTGTTGCAAAACTGCCACCCTCAGGTCTGTTATTGAGTGACCAGACAGGTTAAAGTGTTCTCCTACTGGTTTTTGAATGTTATGATTCCTGATGTCAGATTTGTGTCCATTTATTCTTTTGCGTAGAGACTGTCCGGTCTGGCCAATGTACATGGCAGAGGGGCATTGCTGGCACATGATGGCATATATCACATTGCTTAGCCTAAGCAGTTAACACATATTTTAAGGGACCATTCAAGGTGAAGTGGCCAGTTAATTCCCCCCTGCAATGAGTAATCTGGGCAAAGCCAAGCACAAACTACTAAGATGCTTGCATACTAATGTAAGGAGCCGGGGACCAAAAAGGAGGAACTAGAACTCCTGGTGGTGCAGGAAGTAAACCAGATATTATGGGGATAAGCGAAACATGGTAGAATAGTAGTCATGACTGGAATACAGGCACTGAAGGGTATGTGGTGTTCAGGAAAGACAAATAAACGTAACGGTCGTGGAGCAGCACTATATATTAATGATGAGGTAGACAGTAAAGAAATTAGAAGTGATTAAATGGATCAAATGGAATCTGTGGTCAAAATCACTGAGGGAAAAAAGGTAGCAGAGGCTTCACTGGGATAGTGCTTGGGGTGTCCTACAGACTCCCAGGATTCAATTTCGATATGGACAGAGACCTCTTAAATATTTTAAATGAAATAAATGCTACTGGGAATTGTGTGATTCTGGGAGACTTTAATTTCCTAGATATAGATTGGAGAACAAGTGCTACTAATAATGGTAGGGCCCAGATAGTCCTGGATGTGACAGCTGAAAGATTTCTTCACCAAATAGTCACCAGATCAATGGCAGAGATGATGCCATTTTAGATCTATTATTGGTAAGTTGTGAGGATCTCAGAAAAACTGGTCAGAAAGAACGGCCATAATGGGTCAGACCAAAGGTCCATCTAGCCCCGTATCCTGTCTTCCAACAGTGGCCAAATGCCAGGTGCCCCAGAGGGAATGAACAGAACAGGCAATCACAAAGTGATCCATCCCCTGCCGCCCACTCCCAGCCTCTGGCAAACAGAGGCTAGAGACACCATCTCTGCCCATCTTGCCTAATAGCCATTGATGGACCCATCCTCAATGAATTTATCTATTAACTTTGGTTGAGTGATTCAGTTAATTCAGTTTAAACTGAGTGGCAGGATAAACAAAAATAGGTCTGCAACTAGGGTCCTTGATTTCAAAAGAAGAAACTTAAAAAAATTAAGAGAATTGGCTAGAGAAGAAGTAGACTGGATTGAAGAACTCAAGGATCTAAATGTGGAGGATGCTTGGAATAACTTTAAGTCAAAGCTGCAGAAACTGTTTGATGGCATCACAAGCAAGGGAATAAACTGGACAGGGAAGGGCTAGAGACCAAACTGGATGAACAGATTATTAAGAAGAAGCAGAAAGCCTACAAGGAATGGAAGAAGGGTTGGATCAGCAAGGAAAGCTCTCTCTTAGAGATCAGAAGGTGTAGGGAAAAAGTGAGAACTGACAAAAGCCAAGGAGAGCTAGACTTTGCAAAGGAAATGAAAACCAATAGTAAAAGGTTCTTTAGACATATACATAAAAATAAAACAAAGAAAGAAACGGGAGCGCTAAGCACTGAAGATGGGGGTGGCGATTAAAGATAATCTAGGTATGGCCCAACACCTAAACAAATAGTTTCTTTACATTTTTAATGAGTAATGAAGAGCTTGGGGACAGTGGCAGGGTGGCTAATGGGAACGAGGAGATGGAAATAGAAATGACCACAGCCAAGGTGGAAAACAAACTCAAACAGTTTAATGGGACCAAATCAGGACACTCAGATAATCTCCATCCAAGAATATTAAAGGAACTGGTACATGAAATTGCAAGTCCAACAGCAAGGATTTTTAATGAATCTATAAA